ATTAGCCGCGTTACATGGATAGAAGGGAGGCAAGCATGAATATGAGGATTGTGCAAGGTCACACAGCAAATAAATGTGGATAAATTACCACTACTGAAACTGATATGCCTCTGGGTAAAATTCAGCAGCTGTCTGACCATGAGCGAAAACATTAAAGCAGATGAGATGAGAACCTCATGCAATCAAAACTCCCTGTGATTTTCGTAAGGTAAACAGATGGACTGTGATGGGCGAGACCTGAATTTCTCCAGGGGGTGCGTTCAAGAAAAATCAAACTGGAATAAATTCATATGCTCATTAGTCTTCACATGGATAATCTCAAAAACGGCATCAGTAATTACTGTTTCACCTTTTGCATTCATCACATTAAGAATTACCAAAGCAGCCACCAGAGTGCACCAGATACATTTCAGAGCAACTTGCAGGAAAAGAGAGGAAGGTGTGAAGTTTCTCCCCCTCTTCTTTTCTTTTCTTTTTGCTGAGGTTTGAAACAAGCCAGCTGTTCAAATTTGTGTGTGGAGGGCAGTGAGGGAGAAGGCCAGCACTTGCAGAAAGCCAGGAGGGGGTTGTTTCTCATACCCACCATTGTGTCCGTGCGGTTGCTTCTGTGTCAGTTCTGTGTTGCCTACAAAATTCCCCCTCATACTGAGCTGTCTTCTGGTAGTATTGGACATATTTTTAACATAAAGAATGGTGTGGAAAAATTGAGTGTGGAACGCACGTTAGTTTGAAGGATCAGACCGTCAGAAATATTCATGATGTGCAGGCTAGCAAGGATGTTATCAGCTTTCTGTATGCAAATTTACTTTCTGCGTAAACATGCACGTCTGACTTCATCCCCATTTTGATACTCAGGGGTAGCTAAGCTGATCTAAAACATCTCCTACATACTAGGACATTTCAAAGTATTGAGTACTCCACATTTTATATGCCGTAAGTTGCACATTGTAAATGAACAATGTCTTCTATATGTTCACAGGCAACATAAAAACAGTAAAGATGTAGTTTATCTGATAGATGTGGACATCTGCATGTGACCTACTCATCTAGTTTATTTTTCTAGCCTGTGGAAGGAAACAGATAGTTATAAAGTGTGATTCATCTTCATGTCCTAAAGTGGATGGATGACATAGGTCAAATGATTCTACCCACTAAAAGTGAATTTCTTTCACGGACTTGTAGTGGAGCCTAAAATCACTTGCACAGATATAGACATAAAGTGTTAAACAGCAGAAATCATACCCTGTGTGTGTAATATTCTTTCCTATACTACAGGAAATATAAATTTCCTATATATGATAGGAAAGAATATCTTTCCTGTATATAATATTCTTTCCCATATTGCTGCTTGCGTTGCTCATTAACGGCTGCAGAACTCTGTTGAAGTGTGCAGTTCTTTGTGTAGTGAAGTGCACCACCACGTGGGGTATGAAGCTTAGCTAGTGTTAGACTTCATCTTACAATGTATGAACAACTTTCTGCTTCATGCCTTTTCTGGCTGTTAGCTGGAATCCTGGAAACATAATTTGGACAATGGAAATGCTGCCATTTTATTTGAATGTGAATTAGGTGAGGGAGCTGACTGAAGCATTTTCTTAGTTGAAGATCTCTCTGAACAAATTTTACAGTAGGTAATGCTAGGGAAAGGATGAAACTCTCCTGCACTGGGTCATTACAAATGTATTTTACAAGTCCTGAGGTACAGTTGTCCATTCACTGCAGCTCTGCATTTGTTGTCTGAACACTACAGTATTGCTTCTAAGGGGATCTCTGGAGCTCAGCAGAAATAAATCCGTGCTGGGCTGTTGAAGTCAGTCTGTGAATTGGAACTTCTAAGCTTATCTGTTGTAATTTCCTCAAACCAGTGCTTCTCAGTAGAAGCAGTAAAATGCAGTACTCAGTAAAATTCAGTAGACTGCATTTTTACCTGCTGATAATTGCTGCATCATCAAGAACATGAAATGTGTAAAATCAGCCATCACCTGGAAATAATAATTAAAAAAAAAAAAATCAATGTAGTTTTGAACTTTTTTTTTATTAAAAAAAAAAAGGAAAAAAATCATTTTGCAGTAAAGAGTGAAAAACAGATGTTGAACAAATATATATTCAGTCCTTATAAAACTGTGATGAAGAATGGTGCTGATGAGGCATTTTCTTTTTAGCAATTGCTTTGTGAAGAAAACACTAAGCATTAGAATCCTGCACTGCTTGGCTCTGGTGACTGATTATATTAAGTGTAAGGGTACTTCATGACATCTTAATCTAAATATTTGAACTCTTTGAAGGAGTCTTGGGTTCAGCAGTAAGACAGCCTGATTTGTAATCTCCTTTCTCAATTATATCTCTTTCTACCACATAAAGCTATATGCCTCAAATGTTGCATTCTTATCTAGCTGATAACAAGTAACCTTGCTTTTTAAATAAGTATACCTGTACCTTGTTAAGAACAAGAATAGCAACTGCAAACTTGATAATTACTGAGTATTAGTTGGTTTAGGCAGAGGACAGACCGGTGAAAGAGTGGTGATATTCTTGTCAGTTTACGGCAATAATGCATCTGTAGATCTAGATTATCTATCTGCCTCCAGAATGATTTCAGCAAAGAAAACTAAACTGGGCTGGAGTTATGCTGTCATAACAGGACAGAGTTTGATCCTATCAAGCTGTCAACCAGAGTAAAGAAAAAAGCGTGCCTAGAGTTAAGCTCTTAAATCCACAGGAGCTGTTGCATGCTCAGCACATTTGAAACATGTCATACTAAAGACAGATTTAAAGAAGGGAATCACTATCTCTGTTATTTCTGAGTTATCAGTAATTTAGTCTCTATTCTTATTTATTAATAGAACTTCTTTTTTTCTTGGTCCTTTTCCAACCCTCCTTGTGATACACTTACAAAAGCGTGCTTATTCTCCAGTTGATGACTGTAAACTCAGTCTGGGTTTTGCCATTCTTTATCTGCCTCCACTATTCCCCTGTGGACTCGGCAGCATGCAACCCTTCTCCCCATTTTCCATTTGTCACAATTTTTTCTTTTACCAGTTCCTTCTGATGCCATGCTGGTACATTGTGCTTCTTCATTCTTTTTACAGCAGAAATATGGTGTATCCTAATTATAATTTATTTTAAGATGCTTATCAAAGGATAAATACTTTCTATTTTTACTCTTATGGCACCTAATATATATTCTTTTGGGCACTGGGTTTTGGCAAGCACTCATTAAACTCAGAATGCTTTAAATATTTTTACTTTTTTTTTTTTTAATCTATTCTTTAAAGGAAGTTTTACAACTAAGTAGAGTATTTGGCATGCAAACAGCTAGCTGAAGATTTTAGAAACTGCCAGGTCCTAAGGCAATTTCATTTCATTTACATTTTTAGTTTTCTTGTTTTAGCTTAAATGGAAAAGGTTGGGTCCTTAACAAAATAATTTTGTATTCTGCATAGGCTGTTCAACAATTAGCCACACATGCATTTAAAGACAGAGCCAAAGGCAACAGTAAATAGGTGTAGTGGCATATATTAACAGGGTGCTTTCTTGTCTCATGCTGATGTGCTTCTAACGTGAGTAGTGAAAAGAGATGGGTCTTGTTTGCGTCTGTGTGTGAGAAATCAGGCCCCAGTTTTTGCCTTTCTGACACAGCCTGAGAGATGTACTGAGTGCTGTACGTGTGTGCTGAGGGTACAAGGAAATCTTCTCACAGCTCTAAGTTTTACAGTGTTTTCATATCCTTGCTTTTTGGCAAGTTACACAGGTAACTTGTCCCAGTGCACTGCTTTTGGTGCATACTGCTACTTCAGCTGTTGCAGCTGGGCCACTGAGACACTGCTGCACTGCTGAAGTAGCAAGCACAGTGGCTGTGCCTTTGCTTTTACCCTTTGGAAACAGATGACTTCTTGGGAGGTGGGGCAGCGTGCACAGCCTTTGGTGTGCATAGGAGATCTGCCCTGAGACAGCTGGATAAAAATTTCCACTTATTTCATATATCTCTTCTCCTTTATTGTAATAGATATGTGAAAAGCTTATTAGTACTACTTCCTGTTTTCATTCATTTTTTGTTTAAATTTGAAAACTTTGATTAAAAATTGTCAATTTGTGTACAGAACCATTTTAGTCAAAACACTTTGGCCAGCTGCCTGCAGATAAAACATCGTACAGAAGCCCTGGGAGAGTCAGGTTTTGTTAAAACCCACCCCTGCCCTCAACTCTTTGTATGCACCTAAAACAAGGCAGAGCTGACCTTCAGTGATGGAAGAAGTGAAAAGGCCCCTCTGTAATGGTTGGGCTGTTGAACTCTGCACCACGTTCCTGTGCTTGTCATGCTGAGAGTGTCCTCAACATTTCATGGGGACGTTACCCATTTCAGAGAAATAAGGGACAGCCGCTTTGGTGTTCCATAAAAGGACACCCTTTTAAGAAGAAACCTGGATAAAGTTATCTGCTTAAGTCAATGACAAAATTCGGTTATGTCTGGGTATCACCCACGAACAAAGTCAATAGCTCCAGGTGTGTGGAGGGCCCTGAAGGACACACCGGTCCCGCTCAGATATGACGGGAAGTTCTTGCTCTTGGATTCTTCACTGGGAGCAATTTTCCAGTGACTGCAGGTCAAAATTACTGCCCTGCAGATGGTTTAAGTACATGAAGGTCGGGCCCTTGAGGTACCTAAATGCACCAGAGCACCTCACGTAGCCCCGCGCTGAGTTTTTCAGCCACCCAACTGCGAGCAGGGCAGCTGCAGAAGAGCAAAGGGAACGCGATATACACCAGCACTGCAGCCAGCCCGTTTCCTAGCGGCAATAAAGCGATTCGGACGGGCGTTTGGGGACAGCAGGAGAGGCAGCCCAGCTGCCCGCTGTCCTGCGCTGACCCCGCGGCGCACCGCCATGTCGGTAACCATGGCGTGCCATGGGAACACCCGCTGCGGCGGTGGTGGCTGTGGCGGTGGCGGTGGTGGCGGAGGAGGGGCCCGGCGGCGGCCGGCCGCAGGAGGCGCTGCCGTGGGCGGCCCTGCCCCGCTGTGCCGAGCCGTGCCGAGCCGCCCCGCTCCGCCCGGGCGCCGGCAGAGGGGATGGCAGCATGAGCTGGCTGCCCGGCTCCCGCGGCGTGGTGCTCACCGCCTACCACCCCAGCGGCGGTGGCGGCGCCCCCGGCGGGTGAGCGGCGGCGGCGGCGGCCCCGCGGGGAGCCCCTGCGGGGGGCTCGTGGGGCGGCCCGGGGAAGCGCCTCCGGGGCCGGGCTGTGGGCACCGGGCAGGAGGCGGCGGGGAGCGGCCCCGGGGGGGTTCGGCCGGTTCTCGGCGGGGCTGGGTGCTTGGTGCTGGTGGTGGTGGTGGTGGGGGGGGGTGGTTGTGGTTGTTGTTGTGGCGGGGAGCGCTGAAGGAAGCGCAGGTGAGGCCGAGGGAAAGTTGCGGGAGGTTTTGACAGCTCGAAAGGGGGTGGTGGGGAGCAGGGGCTGCAGCGGGCGGTGTGTAACCCGCGCTGTGCCCTGGCGCTAAGCAGAGGCTGCCGAGAGGGAAGGAGTTTTGTCTTCGCTCCGTCTGTCCTGGCCTTGCTGGAAGTGGCCACAAAGGTCCCTTTGATAAAGATGGGACTTTCACTAACGCGGGGAAGCCGGCTGAAACCGGGGCGGTATCGGCACCGGCACATGGCTTGCACGCGTGCCCGAGTAGAGCGTGTCCGACCAAATTGATTATCATCTCATTAAAAAAAGATAGAAGGAAGTGCTGGATGTCACCCTGGACAAAAGATAAGCGATGCGCCGTGGTGTGTCACGCCAGGAGTTCACCACAAAGCAAGAACCGAACCGAGCCGTGCAGCCTGACCGAGTGCTGCAGCAGCACAGCCACGGCCCTGTGTTTGTTGGGGTGCTCCCGTCCCTGTAACTAAGTGTGTGTGGGGGGAGTAAAGGTGAGAAGCAGTCTCCCTTCTTAATTGCAGCATTAGAAATGTGTACGTTAGAGCTGGGTAGGACAGGGGGTTCCCACGCTTAGTTTGCCTGAGCTCCGCTGCTGGCAGCGTTACAGCTTCAAAGACCGTGCACGTTTGCCATTTAGCTCTCTCAGCTAAGATCCAGAAGGCTGCCTCTCTTTCCACGTCACAGCTTTCCGTATCACTACGTACCCCTCTGCTGCCTCGAAAACTCTGTGATTTTCAACAGGGATCAGAGCACGTGTAATACAGCGCCAGCTGTTTGTATTGTAATGAAGCAAACTTTTTGGAAATACTAATGGTCAGCTATGTTGATTTTTTTTTTCTTTTTTTCGAGGGCATTCAAAACAATGAGAATTGGAGACTGCATTGTATTTTGACTGTTGGAGAAGCATGGCACTGGTGCATCCTGGAAAAAGCAATGCATTGGCTGTGCTCCAGATAAAGTGGCAGCCTAGGAAACTATGTTCCCTAACCATTTGTTTTTCTTCAGGCGTACAAGAAGTCCTGCTTCATAGAACTGCAGAATTTTACTGATCTAATAGATTGTTGAGCTACTTTACCATTCTCTTCTGGCCCTTTAAAGGCACAATGAGCCTGTGAAATACTTCCTGTAAAAAAGTCTTACCCTACTATTGGTTCATCAGGCTAAAATCTAGAACAGCTCCAGTGTGATTACTTCCAAGTTTGACAATTTAAGACAATGTTGTCTTGACAGTGACGATGCATAGAATAGCATCAGAGCTGTCTTTACCATAGAATTTATCTTACAGCTTATATTAAAGTAATAGTTAAAGGAACATCTTCTTATATTTAAGATACTGATTATGGGTGATTTCTGTGGTATACCTAAGTATTTATCTAAGAACTTCCTTAGAGAAATCACAACATCAGGTTACCCAGTCAAGTTTAATTTTAATAGCTCTCCTCCATATTGCTTGTTTTCTGCTTGTTTTTCACTTCTCAGCTTTAACCCATTAGATACACTATTGCTTTATTGGCTGTCTTGCTGCTTGCATTTTTGTGTTGTCTTCCTTTTTTATGGTGTCCGTGCATGGGCATTTTTCTTGCCCACATTTTTCTTGTTTTTCCAATGGAACTGCTTGATGTTAAATGGACTGTGGAAACTAAGAGTGAATCAAGTAACTCGCCCATTACTGTTTCAGCGGCCACTTTGGCCCCTTGCAGTCATGTAAGCCTCATGCATGAGAGAAATGTGAAATTGACGTACCTAAGAGTATGCTGCTTAGGTTTCTTGCTGGGGATTTTACCCCATCTTCTGTAGCAGAAGGAGTTGCAGGTCCTCTGTCACATTTGCCAGCCACACACAGGAATTTCAGGTAAAAACAGTCTTTTCATAGGGTTCTTTGTGCTTACCCTTAGACAACAGTCTCATCCAGACAGGCCTCTGCAGGACTGTTCCTGTTCAAGAATGAATGTGTGTGTGAATGTGCGTGTGTATATATGCAGCTGCAAATATCTTTTAAGTGATTATAAGGTGAAAGCCAGGTCTGGAGTATTGAATAGCTGGGGAATAGGATATAAAAAAAATAGCAAATAGCTAGATGCATGGAAAACTAACTGCATGTATGTGTGTGAGGAAAATAAAATTCTGCTACAGAGCATTTTCAAGAGCTGAGCTTAAAATGCAAACTGAGTGACAGATAAATGATTCTAAATGTGATGGCCACTGCAAGTTGACATTGCTTTTGTCTCCCTTACTTTTGCCATATCTCAGAGGCTGTCTTTCTGTATTGTCTCCCTGGCTGCACCGAATTGTCATGTGAGTCACAGTCTCCCTGTATGTTTCCAATGAGTCACCTCACCATGCTTTCTCATCAGCAGCCAGCATGTGCACTTTTGCTGCCACTTCATTGCACTTCTTAATCTAATTGCAGAATACCAGTTTGAGTTTTTGAAGCTTTGCAAGCTAGTGCCTTCTTAATATCACATGCTCCCAAAGGTCCTGTAAATCTTCATGTTGCCAGTGACTTCTTAAGAAGGACTGCAGCATCTCATAAAGACTAGAACATGGCTCTTCTTCCTCACAGGTCATGTACCTATGTGCACCCTCACGTATTTGCTGTTTTAAAATCTTTAAAGCATTTAGTTTGCCAGCACAGGCTTGCAAAGTGAGAACTACAAGCCCAGTTTCCCTTAGATGGTACTAAAACCCAGACCAGTTCTGGAGAGAGTTACTAGAAAAGTGCTGGAAAAGAGAAGGTTCCACCTCCTCAGGTCCCTTCTGCCAAATGACGCCTGCCAGCAAGCACCCATGGTGCTGGAGATTCACTGTCTTATTCACTGCTGAACCCATGTGAATCTGGGAGATGTCAGCTGAAGCTCGGAAGTGTGTGGCAGTAGAGGAGAGGGTCACGGTTAGGTTTTGTTGTGGAGAAGAGCCCATTTTTGTGGATTACTGCGCAAGTGTGCATAAAAGAAAATATTTATTTTTTATCTTTGTAAATATGTGTTTTAGTGATTTAGTGGTTGCTGTATCTGTGTTGGGTGACAAGTGAGGGGCATAAAATACTTAATGTTTTCTACAGGCAACTTTGGTCTAAATCACTCACAGTTTGATCGCCTTTCATTGCTCAAGTATTCGCTCAGTTTAATCTGAAGATTTAATAGTATGCAACTCAAGCCAATAAGAATTCTAGTAGTGAATATGAATTCATGCCTTCTTTGAAGGGCAGTTTCTGTTCTCATTCCTTCAGAGAGAAAAGCTCTCATTCCTTTCCCTCTCTTTTCCCACCAGTGACTCACTCTTGGAATTGAAGTCCAGTGAAATCCAGTTTGAAGGACTAAAGCACTGTGAGAGATGCATGTAGTGCTCAGTGTGTGAGCAACAAACTCACAAGCTGATTATAACAATGGGCTTGTGGTGGCAGAGCCTGTTGCAATTTCTTTTGCAAGCTATTAGCACAGCACAGATTTGGGATTTTCTGTATCATCACAGCATTTGTTGTTGCTACCCCCTGTAACCTGTCTGCCATGATGCCAATACGGAGTCCCCAGCACAGTACCTGCCATGTGGTGCTTACTTTTATGCAAAGCAAAGATGTATCACACTACAGCTGACTTCACAAAATCATAGCAATGTTTTATCTAAATGTATAGGCTCTATGTGAGTACAAATACCTTAGAAAAATCTTTTCTGCCTTGAATTTGGCAGCTAATTTGAACAGCATTTATTGTCCCGTGCCTACCAACATACTCAAATAGAGCTGATAGGCAACATTGTGCTAAGTTGCTTTGTTTAGAATTGCTTTTGTGTCTCCTGTGCTTTATGCATGTATAAATATGTAGCATACTGCAGACCCTGAACGTGTTGCTTAGTTACCAGTGTATTAATCCCACTAACTTGATCTACAGACAGCAAGATGTGGTAGCCCACCATTTCCTGCTTCCAGATTCCTGTCTCCCTTGAGTTACCCCCTCCCCAGTTTGCACTTTCTTTCTTCTTTGAATTTATCTGGCTTCTGCTTTTGATTCTTGCTATGTGCTTCCAGTAGAGTAAAAAGCCCTTCAGCTGTCTGTTAATTGATCATCAAGCTGCTGCTCAATTTTATTTTTGTAGACTAAATAAGTAATTATTTTTGAGTATCTTTGTTTCTTAAGTCTAAAACTACTACTAAAACTACTTTTTTTTGGTGACTCTTTTCTTTAGTTTCTTCAATTTTCAGCATCCTTCTTTACATGTGTCCTGCTATTTTGCCTTCCCAGCCTGAATTATAACAAGTAATTCAGTGTCAGTCTCATGAGTGTCACCCACACAGGTAAAATCACTGCCATGATGCTAATTAGCACCTCATCTAGTTGCAGACATGGTTGTTTTTTTAAGCATCCTGTTGGAACTCACCTCAAGTTTCATGTCCTTTGCACTTTTCTCAAGCCCTTCTTTTTCAGGGCAGTCCTCATTATGCAGACACGGTCCCTGGTTCATGCACTTAGATATCCATTTAACGTCTGTCAGTGTTATAAAACAACATTATTTCAATAAGCTCAATTCAGTAACTGACCTGGATCATTCTGTGTCATGGATTTAGATTGGATTTAATGCCCTTTGCTATCTGTGAAAATAGTCTATTCAATTCCACTGCTGGTCAGGCCCTTAAATAGGTATCAAGTGAAAATAACTGTGCTGAATCGGTGGAGCTGTGTAACAGAACAGAGGATAAGGCTCGCCGTATACTGGCTTTCTTTTTCAATTTAATAAGATACAG